GTTAATTATTAATTACTGTTCTATTTTTCTGATCATGTTATTAATTTTCAGGGATTTACTAATTAAAAAAGAAATCCCACATATTATCTAGAGAAAATGTTCCCCTATTTAAAAAAATCTAGTATTGCAACATATTTTGTTTAACTGTTACATAAAGTTGCAAATAGTTAATTTAAACGCAATAAAACATTGTGATCTTGAACAATACTTAAGAGATGTAATCAGATTTGTGTGTTAATTACAGATGGTTGGGATTCAAAGTGGGTTGCCATTACCATCGCTAATGGAGATGGTAGCACAATTAGTAGTGTACTTCTTGATAGAAGATTACACTCACTATTGGATCCATAGATGGTTGCATTGCAAATGGGGTTTTGAGAAGATACACCGAGTCCATCACGAGTACACTTCTCCAATCGGATATGCATCGCCGTATGCACATTGGGCCGAGGTCTTGCTTCTTGGGATCCCGACGTTTCTTGGACCGGCGATTGCACCTGGCCACATTATGACCTTTTGGTTGTGGATAAGCTTACGTCAAATGGAGGCGATAGAAACTCACAGCGGGTAAACAGACAATCCAATATCATAGTTCCGTTTAGCGTTTACATTACCATTTTAAGAATGCATTACTATTGTATTTCTAACCTTTACCATTTCAAAATTGCAAAAGTATAATGTTTTTTTCAATAATTATATTGCTAACAAATGAAAAAAATTGAACATAAATGCCATGTTTTATTTGCTTGCAGATATGATTTTCCATGGACTCTGACAAAAATGGTACCATTCTACGGTGGAGCTGAGTATCATGATTATCATCACTATGTTGGAGGACAAAGCCAGAGCAACTTTGCTTCAGTTTTCAAGTATTGTGACTATATCTATGGAACTGACAAAGTAAGTACTGGATCAAATTCATGTAAAGGAATTCATGTCCCTTAATTTATTTGGTTAGTATTTAACCTAATTCTTTGATGAAACATTGACCAGTTTTGGTTATTAACTTTTCTGTAACTAGGGCTATCGAGTCCATAGGAAGCTTCTTCAGCAGGTTTAATATTCTTCTCAAACTTATATTTTAGTGTTTGCTTCTTATATAGTTTCTTATATATATGTGGTCTTTATCCATATTTATTTGTGAAATGGGTGGCCTCTTATACATGGTAGATGAAGGAGGAAGCTGAGCAGAAGAATGGAACGAAAGAAGATTAGTAACGAATCAGAAGAGGGTTGAAAGTTCCAATCCTTTAATAAGATTAAATAATTGTATATGATCGTGTAAATATATATGTTAAGTGGATGTGGACTGCTTGTGCTAATAATTTTCAACAATTATAATATATGTGGTTTGAACTATAATTAGGTATGAGTTATGTGGGGCAAATTATTCGAGTAACAACAGTTTATTCCTCTTTTTCTGTGTCGGCTAAAACTGACCTCCTCCATTTCCTCCATGAAGAGATACCTGGTGTCTGTCCATTTGAGGTAATAAATCTCGCATTAACAAATATATTATTGAAGATATATTTTTGTCTAACAAAATTCTGTAAAAATATTTTCTAACACTTAGTTTATTTTAGATCGGAAACAAACGTTTCAACTTGTGTGGGTTTAGCAGTCGAATCAGCCATACCGATTCCAAAAGAAGCTTATTCAGCAGGTCAAACAAATACTCCCAAAGCTGATACTTTGCTTGCATCGACTCCATTACTTAACGTGTTGTATGTTTAAGAAATTATGAGTTGCAGATCAAGGAGGAGTCCAAGAAGAGCAATAAGCAGAATGGAGGAGATAAATTAGATTAGTAAAACCTGAAACTCCTCAGGAGGTTTGAGTTTACTTATCATAAGATAAGTTATGAGCAGTCTGCTAATCTAAACAAGTCAAGACTCGCAAAAGAAAGTGTAGTTTAGTTTTGTTCTCTTTTCTGCTTATGTTTGCCACATGGAAACGCTCCATTGTTTTTTCTTTGTTTAAACTCTTTTAAGTAAGGCATTATGATTTAGAAGAAATCAAAAGGAGTGCTGAATCTGTCACTGTTTAATTTTCATTTGTCGTTTTCTTTGTTTAATAATGGGTATCAACAAAGCCCGTCTAGCTCAGTTGGTAGAGCGCAAGGCTCTTAACCTTGTGGTCGTGGGTTCGAGCCCCACGGTGGGCGATTAGCATTTTTTTATTACTCATTTTATCGGCCTCCACAAGTTCTTCTAATTACAAAACTCCAACATTTTTTTAAACGACCCTTATCTTCACACAGACTTTGCTTACAGTCCAGCAAACTTTCGGATTCACGTTTTTGGGCTCAAATTCAACTTGCATTAACTCAAATTTGGATACACCCGGAACTAAGCGAGTACATGCGTCTAAGAATATTCACAAGTATATTTCCAACTCCAGTTGTAAATTACATTTTAACCTTTCCATACTTACAAGTTGCAACGTCTCCTATGTTCCAACACTTCCTTTCTTAATACATTAGGTTGTGTATTTCTATTGATATTGAATATCGATGACAGTGTCGGGTTCCACGGGGAATCTCTACAGTTGGGACTTGGGAGGACAGGCTCAATCATAAAAGCTCAAAAAACATAATTTTTTACTAAATACAAACAAATATTAATAAAATTTAACATGTGGCTCATGGCATGCCTCACTAAGTCACCATCATGCACTGTAGTTCAACACCTTCTGGTGTATGTGGATATGAAAATGTATCACTCTGTTGGACCAACGTGACGTGGCCGGTTTTCGTTTTTGTGGTAGAGACTTGTTAACATTTAAGCTTAACAGCAAAAGATAACAAAGTTTTCTGCACCTGACATTATTTGAAAGTGACAAGTGCATAATAAACTGAATCATATTTTACAAAAGGTCTTCGGTATTCGGGCCCCAATCTATTTTTGGTTTTGTCCAATTAATTTTTTTTTTTCGAATTTATCAAAATCAGCTTCATTCGAATTATATTAAAGTTTGGTTTGAAACCGGTTCGGTTCTATCGGATTTAGATCGGTGTTAATAAATCTTCAAAAAATCGGTACAATCTGACGAACTTTCGCATTCGTGTTTCAATCAATTTTTTTTGGTTTAAAAAGACATAATTTATAACTACTTTGTAACCAAAACATAAGTAGAATCAGTTCTTCAATTTAAAATACATGATTTATACCTATTTTGTAACTAAAACATAAGTAAAATCGATTCAAAAATAAATAAAAAGAACATCAAACGTGATCATTTAAAATCAAATAAAAGTTAAAATAGAAAAAAAAACCAATAAATGAAGAAATAAAATGAAAACCAAGCTCTCTCAATGAAAACAAAACCAAAATCCTAAAACTTCAAGTTTTAAATCGTCACCTTCAACAATCAATCTTCAATCATCAAAACGCTAAACCTAAGATTATGAGACCGAAAATCTAAAGAAAATAAATTAACCATTACATAAAATAATAAAGAGAAACTACATTTCGAGAAAGACAAACCTTTCTCAAGTCAATGTAACCAAGATCTGTATTACGCTAAGTATTAATATTAAACACAACATTAATATTAACAAAATACCAATATATAAATTAAGCTAAGTATTTGGGTTAATAATTCAAGTAATAGATAATTATTTCAATAATATCTTAGTGTATTTTGGATACATATTAGGAATTGAGATCATGTTTGATATAATTTATTTTTTAGAGTTTAAATTTTTTTGAGTTTTATCGGATATTCATTTAGGTTCGGGTTTGGTTCGGATAATATGCATAATCCAAAATATCATAAAACAAGATCCATTCGGTCTTTATGCCGGGTTCGGATTGGTTCAAATTCATTTTATCAAATCGGATTCGGTTTAAGTTTTCAGGTTCTGTTTATGTGTACAATCCTATTTAAAAATTAGAAATTATTATAATAGGACATCATTTATAATTATTTTCTTATAATTTATCTTTCTTTGTGAAACAATTTTTTTCTCTGACCTCTAACCTCTGAACTAAAACATAAACCCTACACCAATAAAGAAACAAAAAGTATGCCGTTCAAACTAACATGTTATTTTCACAAAATCTTTGTGTTCTATCTTACCCAACTTTATTGTAAGTACATTTATGCATCTTCTTCTTCTATGGAAATACCAAATATCAGCTTCCTCAAAGAAAAAAATAATATCACCAGATATGGCATCATAAATTCAATTTTTGCTGCCTTGTTTTTTTATTGACTAAAAACTAGAAGTTTCAGGATATCATCATCAATTATCTTTCAGCATCATGTATTTTTTTTCAATTTCGTATTAAGTCATCATTCCAGAATCAAACTCTTAGGCAAAGAGCTTCTTGATTTCTTATAGTGTAGTCGAAGTTTAAAATTCAATATCAGTATGTTATGGACAATTAAAAAAAGTTATTTATCTAGTTTAGCAGAACTTCATGATTACTAAATCTAAACTCCAAATCTTAATCTCTAAACTCTATCCCGAAATTAAAATCTTAAAATCAAATCTTTCATACCATTAATATATGTATCAGTAGAGAAGTAAATCAGTACACATAGATAAGATTTTATTGGTTCAGATTTGCTAGCGCGCTGTCTTTTCTACAAGATATTCGAGTATGGACTTCAATTTCCGGTAAAAGGTTGAGAAAAAATATGTTATTGGATCCGTTGAAATAATTAACAAAAAAAGCGGACTTGTGCTGAGTAATGTTCTACTAAAAACAGAAAGAGCGAGGTCCCAACTTGGCGGACTTCTCAAAGGCAAAAAAAGTAAGAAAACAATTTGGGAAAATCGAAACTGAAGTTGAGTGATTAGGTCACTATTGTGTGATTCTGATTGGTTAAAGCGTCCAAAACCATCTTTCATTTTCTACAAGCACCTCTACTTCGAATCTGTGCATTATTTATCATCTTTCTACCATTCTTTATATATTTCACAACCTCAAAACATTGCGGTATACACATTAAAGTGATAAAATATACAAGAGTACCAGACTAGCTCTTAAAGTATGATCCCTTACCCAACCGTCCAAGACGCGTCTATAGCTTTAGGACGGAACCTGACATGGTTCGAAACGGTTTGGTTCGATTACTCAGCCACCAAATCTGATTTCCATGTTTACTGTCACACCATTTTAATACTTTTCCTAGTCTTTTCTCTCGCTCCTCTCCCTTTTGTGTTCGTTGAATTGACTGGCTGGTTCGAGCGGTTTAAGATTCAGCCCAAAGTGAAGTATTTGTTGTCAGATATGTTTCGGTGTTATAAAGATGTCATGAAGCTGTTCCTACTTGTAGTCGGCACGTTGCAGTTCGTTACTTATCCTTCCATCCAGGTTAACTATTATTTATTGTTCTATTTTTCTGATCATGTTATTAATCTTGTTAGTGTTTTTATTAATCATTAAATAAACAATTTATATAGAGAAAATATTCCCATATTCAAGTGTTCGCATTGTAAACATATTTTGTAAATTTAAACGCAATAAAACATTGCGATCTTGAACAATACCTAAGAGAAATAATCAAATTTGTGTGTTAATTACAGATGGTTGGGATTCGAAGTGGGTTGCCATTACCAACATTAATGGAGATGGTAGCACAATTAGTGGTGTACTTCTTGATAGAAGATTACACTAACTATTGGATCCATAGATGGTTGCATTGCAAATGGGGTTTTGAGAAGATACATCGAGTCCATCACGAGTACACTTCTCCGATCGGGTATGCATCGCCGTATGCACATTGGGCTGAGGTCTTACTTCTTGGGATTCCGACATTTCTTGGACCGGCGATTGCACCTGGCCACATTATGACCTTTTGGCTGTGGATAAGCTTACGTCAAATGGAGGCGATAGAAACTCACAGCGGGTAAACAGACAATCCAAATCATAGCTCCGTTTAGCGTTTACATTACCATTTTAAGAATGCATAATTATGTGACAATCCATCTTGTGGAAGCTCACAGCGCTGTAGCGCATCGACTCTAACCCCTCTCTTATGAATACTCATTAAATCCATAATCAGGTTGTTGGTGAGACTCGAACCCAAGTCCTCACCCTATAACAACTCTCCAGAAGACAAGTTGCAACTCACCTGCAGATCAATTGGTGGCAACTTGTCTTGTGGAGAGTTGTTATAGGGTGAGGACATGGGTTTGAGTCTCACCAACAACCTAATTATGGATTTAGTGAATATTTATAAGAAATGGGTTGGAGTTGATGCGCTGCAGCGCTGTGAGCTTCCACGAGATGAGTTGTCACAAATTATTCTTTTATAATCTTTACCATTTCAAAATTGCAAAGTAGTATAATGATTTTTTCAATATTTATATTGCTAACAAATGAAAATTTTTGGACATAAATGCCATGTTTTATCTAGATATGATTTTCCATGGACTCCGACAAAAATGGTACCATTCTACGGTGGGGCTGAGTATCATGATTATCATCACTACGTTGGAGGACAAAGCCAGAGCAACTTTGCTTCAGTTTTCACTTATTGCGACTATATTTACGGAACTGACAAAGTAAGTATTGGATCAAATTTCACTTAAAGGAAATTTCATGTTCCTTAATTTATTCGGTTAGCATTTAACATTTCTTTAATGAAAGCTTGACCAGTTTTCTTTATCATTTTTTGTTCTGTTACTAGGGCTATCGAGTCCATAAGAAGCTTCTTCAGCAGGTTTGATATTCTTCTCAGAGTCAGATTCTAGTGTTTGTTTCTTATATTTGTGTTCTTTATCCATATTTGTTTGTGAAATGGGTGGCCTCTTATGCATGGTAGATTAAGGAGGAAGCCGAGCAGAAGGGAGGAGAGAAAGACGATTAGTAACGTATCATAAGAGGGTTGAAAGTTTCAATCAGTTGAGAAGATTAAATAATTAAATAATTGTATATGTTTCTATGAATATATATATGTTAAGTGGATTGCCTGTGTTAGTAATTTTCCACAATTAAAATATATGGTGTTAACTATTTTTTTTGGCGACATATGGTGTTAACTATAATTAGCTATGATCTTATGTGAAGCAAATTATTGGAATAAATTTATTCTTCTTCTGTGTCGGCTAAAACTGACCTGCCCTTCTTGCATGAAGCGAAACTTGGGTCTGTCCATTTGGGGTAATAAATCTTTGAATAACAAAACTATTGGAACTAAATTTTTGTCTAACAAAATTGTGTAATTAATAATCTTTTTTTGCCATAACACTTTTCATTTTTTATAGATAAGAAACAAACGTTTTCAGCTCGTGTAATGTGGTGTTAGCAATCGAACAGCCAGACCATTGGCCTGTCGAGATACAAATGAAAAAAGAAGAAATCATACGAAAAACGCTTGCAATGTTTTGAATAGATGGACTAACCCGCATCTAGCCGGTAAACCGCATGGGTTGGACCGCTAATCCTGCAATTTAGCGGATATTAGATTTGTTGTCTAGGCTCGTTCCGTAGTGAGTCTTTATGGGGGCTAGACCCACAACAATCTACTAATTGAATTGACAATTCTACATAAGAATTATTTTCATCGCCCATGCTTCCGCTGAATATGATGACACATGCCTGCTTGTACCATATAAGACCATCTCTAATGGAAGTTTTATCCAATTGGAATTCTAAAACTATATATATGTGTATGTATATATTATATATATGTATGTAATTGTAAGATCTACCAAATAGTGTAAAACCCTCCCTAAAAATTCTAAATGTAAAATCTTTTAGAAATTTTAGGAAGGGTTCTACACTATTTGGTAGACCCTACCATTACATACATATATATAATATATACATATATATATATATATATAATTTTAGAACTCTAATGGGATAGAACCCCATTGGAGATGGTCTAACTCTATATACAGCCATCCGTACGTATAAGAATCCAATTTAAATTTGAAACTTCTCGAATTTTTAAATAATACCAGATCGATATTTTTTAAATAACAGTTGCGAAAACGAATAATATAAACGAGTAAATCTTAAAAATAATTTTATAAAAACAAATTAAGTAATTTGCTGACGCCTGACAAAAAAAACAAATTAAGCAAATCGGTTTGGTTACCGCTATTGGGTAATTCAGGAGACCCGGTTTAGTTTAACCAAATGCGTGTAATGAAATTACTTGTAGCTTCTTAATCCTAACAAGACTTATGACTTGTTGTCTGCCCAAAAACCAAAACACGTTTCCAGAGAAAAATTATCCAGGAAAAATTAATCAACTTTCCAGCTCGATTCATCCCAAATCTATAAAAGAAAACTTCATCCTCAATTCAGCAAAGGGGTTTGCTCAAATCTCTCTTTCTTTTCGAGTTAGAAAATCTCGCGCGAGCAAATGGCGTGGAACGTGTTCAAGTTCTGCACAGCACTCCGCGCGTTGGGTTCGATCATGATCCTTGTCGTATTAGGAATCATCGGATTCACATACTACGCCCTTGTCGTTGCCAATTACGGACCGTCTCTACTCCTCGGTGGTCTCGATTCATTACTAGCTCTTCTCGTTTTAGCCCTCTTTCACTTTCTGGTACTAAAAAATTGAATCTTTTTGTGACCCTTTTGAGATCTTTAGTAACCCTCTAGATTCTCTCTGTTACATACTAATGATAAGCTAGTTCAGATCATGTCTTATTGTCTGTGTCAAAGCTTGTTGAATTTATTGTATATATGGAGAAGAATGAATGGTACTTATGTGTTGTGTTTAATTGCTTACATGTTGAAAGTTTCTCTTTTTCTGCACATACTAGAATCTGGTTAGGGCTTTACGACATAGCGTTTGTGGTAACATGCTCAATCTAGCTGGCTTTGTATGGTACAAATCGAGATTTAATTAGGAAATGAATGAGATATTGAAGTTATGATGGATATACTATAAGTCAAGAAAGCAATAAAGGAGTCATCTGTCTTGGTTTGGTTAGTGTAGGGTAGTGTCTGTGTGTTACTCTAGCTTTGAAGCTTGTTGCTTTATTGTACCTTGTGATGATTGTTGTTTTTTTGACTGTGCAGCTTATAATGTTACTGTGGAGTTATTTCTCTGTTGTTGTGACGGACCCTGGTGGTGTACCACCGGGATGGAGGCCGGAACTAGACATTGAGAAAAGCGATGGAAGCCAAGAATACACTTCACTTACGGTTGGTGATTCATCTTCTCATATTGTAAGATACTGCCGGAAGTGCAATCAATATAAACCTCCTCGTTCTCACCATTGTTCTGTCTGTAAGTCTCTTTGACCTGTGACTTTTTTTTTTTTAATTTAATTCGGATTTAGTAGTGTATTTGTTTCTTTAGTTGATGAGAAAGAGGCTTTTATCGTTGCTCTTTTAGGTGGAAGATGCATTCTAAAGATGGACCATCACTGTGTGTGGGTTGTGAATTGTGTTGGGGCAAAGAACTACAAGTCTTTTCTCCTTTTCTTGGTATGTCAAATTATCATAACTCTTCTGCAAATGACAGTACCTGAATAGGATTAGAAACTTATTCCATTGATGTTGGCCTAATACTAGTGTCAAAAAATGCAGTTTTACACATTTCTTGAGACAACGGTGGTTGCAGTATCACTCTTTCCAGTTTTCCTCGTATTTTTTACCGATGGAGATAGTGATGTTACCGTTTCACCAGGAAGCCTAGCTGCCACTTTCGTTGCATTTGGTGAGTTCAAGATACATATATATATATAAATCTCAATTTCTTACTGTTTTTTTTTGGTTGTGTTTTCTTGTCTAATTCAAAATCTTACCTTTGTTACTTTCCAGTATTGAACATAACATTTGCGCTAAGTGTCCTAGGCTTCCTAATCATGCACATAATGTTGGTCGCGCGTAACGCCACGACTATTGAGGTAAAAACAGCTCTCTCTTACTGAATATCCATTGCTCAATAAACTTACTGACCAAAGTAATATGCTATTTGATCTCAGGCATATGAGAAACATACAGCTCCTAACTCTCCTTATAATCTTGGTCGTAAGCAAAACTTTGAACAGGTTTTCTCTCCATCTCACATGCTTTTATGGTAGATTCTTTGAAGTTAATAGAAGAAGTTTCCGGCTACTTAAGATAAAATCTTAGACATAAACACAATCATAGCTTTTAAAAGCTAGTTTCTTTCGTTTACTGGTTCAGGTTTTTGGAAGGGATAAACTGTATTGGTTCTTGCCATTGTACACAGAAGACGATATGAAGAGGATGCCAGCACTTAGAGGGTTAGACTTTACGAGCAGGTCCGAAGAGTCAGAGCCGCTTCAGTCTCTATGATGTTAAAACGTCAAACTTTTGGGAATGGGTCTGCTTTGTGTATGTATCATTAATACCTCTCTGTGAATTGAAGATCAGTGATTCTTTTATAGAATTTGATTCTACGTGTAAAGCAAATCCTCGAACTTTTGCACTGCATACTTAAATGAAACTAGATGTTTGCCCGCAAAGTTAATTGTACTATACGAAGAAATATATATATATATATATATATATATATATTCTGTTTACACGGTTATAATTTGCACTGCATACTTAAATGAAAATAGATGTTTGCCCGCAAAGTTATTTGTACTATACGAAGAAATATATATATATATATATATATATATATATATATATATATATATATATATTCTGTTTACACGGTTATAATTTTTAATAATAATTATAAATAAATCAAAAATTTTAATATAGACTTTTAGAAAATGTGAGATTTAAAATAGTTCCACAACATAAACAACATAAACCTTTGTCATAAATTATGTTTGTTTTGGTTCTTTTATATTCTTATGTATTTAAATTTTATTTGTTTATCGACATACATATATATATTTAAAGTTAATTGTACTATACGAAGAAATATATATATATATATATATATAAAATTATATATAAAAGAATACAATCAAATTAAATTTAACTAAAATAAATAGATAATTAAAAACCATCATTGATAATAGCTCCTAAAAATAAACTATGTAAACTAAATCTAATATAAAAAAACAAAACAAAAAACTTAAAAACCACGAAGTTATAAAATATAAAATTAAACCAAGTATAATTAAAGTAAATATAAAATAAAAAATTCAACATCGTTAATGAATTAAATAGTGACTTTAGTCTTAAATTTTAGTATATTGTATATTGCTAGTATATTTAATTCAAATAATAACAAGAAAATATTGGTTTCTTGATTAAATATTTAATTAAATATTGGTTTCTTGATTCGGTTTAACTCGGTTTGGTTCAGATTAGTTTCGGTTCGGTTGGTTCGGATTGAAAAAATCTTTAGCCGAACTATTTGATAATAGACTTGGTTCGATTTGGATCGATTTCAGTTCGGTTGGTTCGGTTCGGTTCGGTTCGTTTTTTTTGTCCACCCTTATCGTTATAGCTAAGTAGCATTTAGACGAGAGTTATTCTTGGGTTCACCAACCAATATTAATGTGTTATTTCATATCTGATATTTTTTTAAAAAGAAAATAAAATCTTGTTAAGTTATATTAATACCATTAAAACATGATCATTCCCTTTAATGAGATTTTTATGTTTTCCAAAAATAATTTTAATAATACGAACAAATTTATTTTTTCACTAATAACAATTTCGTCTTTTTATTCTGAGCCTAAAAACTATATACTAATGTTGTTTTATTAATAAGCCAAATTCACCTTCTAATTATTAATCAGGTGGTCCTCATTCGTTCCTCCACGGAACGGGTCAATCCATATTTGAAAAAACTAAGTTGCGGGTGCGGATGCATGTCAAATATATTTTACGCGGGACGGATGCAGATTGTTTTAATTTCAATTGAGGGTATCCGGTAATCTGCAAGAATAAATTTTTTTTTTAAAAAATTATCATTCAAAAATATACTAAATTTCGGTAAAATAATTATTTTTAAAAAATTAAAAATTTAATTAAAAATATAATGTTTAATAGTATTTTTTAGAAAAAATAAAGTAGTTATGTTTTCTTATTAATAATTATCCACATGTTCCGTGGATTATCCACAAAATTAAGTAGGGCGGATACAAATAATTTTTTTTTTTTTTTTGCGGGTCAGGCGGGCCAGGGAGGGCGAGTTTGACCCGCTTTTCAGCACCAAGCGTATTTAATTGATATTATTTTTCCAAAATAAAACTACACAATTACATATAATACATTTACATAGATATTGATGATAAAAATAAATTGAAATCCACAATAATTTTAGAAAGTTATATTAGACAAGAACATTTTATATCATAAAAAAAAAACTTATCGATCCATCTGTAGATAAAATAACAAAAATGGTACCCGCGCTTTTTAAACGCGGGTCAAAATTCTAGTTATGTTTTTACAATAGAAGTACAAAAAATAAATAAAAAATAACAATATTTACAAAAAACGAAAAAAACTCTCTAAAGAAAGGATTTTAACACTAAAACACTAAACTCTTGGTTAAATCATAAATCATTTGGAAAACTCTTAAACATTAAATAAATAAAAATTAATACTAACCAATTATACTGTTTTTTATTTATTTTTATCTTTGAATTTTAAAAGCATAATATAATGTAACAATATTTTGTTTTCATTTTAAAGATATATTAAAAGAATTTTTTTAATTTTTTTTTTGCAATTATTACTGTTTCTATTTTATTTTTATCTTTTTATTTTAAAAACATAATATAATGTGAAAAAATTTTAAAGAATTTTTTCCTCTGTTAATATTATTATTTTTATTTATTTTTTATATTTTTATTTTAAAACATAATATAACTTAACAAGATTTTGTTTCTTTTTTTAAAAGATATCAAATATGAAATAACATCATCTTATTGGTTGGTGTATCTATAGGTTCAAATTAGGGGGTGAACCCAAGAAGAAGTCTTTAGATTTTGTTTCCTTATTTCAAAAATATAATATAAGTTAACAAGATTTTGTTTCTTTTTTTTAAAGATATCAAATATGAAATAACACCATCTTATTGGTTGGTGAACTTATAGGTTCACACTAGGGGCGAACTCAAGAATTTTATGCAAATATGGAAAATTAAGTTACATCTCCTATAAGTATTTTGTAATAAAAAATATCTAAAAATGACATGTGTCAACAAAACAATATAGAGAAGCCATAGGTATAATAGATTTCATAATCTTATCTAGGTATAACATTTATAGAAGAAAATCTTGAGAGAAAATTGCATGTGTAACGGTAAACCATCAGCCAATCATATTGCAAGTTTTGTGAAAATTATCTCGAGCTAGATTCCTTCGGTCCCCTCGGTGAAAACTGCATAAAAGGGTTGAAGAAAGTCTCACACATGCAAAAACATCTCGAGAGGTTTCTTCTCTCTTCTGCTGATCGTTTGTTGTTCAGAGGTATGAACTTTCGATCTTTCTCCTTTAGTTAGCACCGTGGTTCTGCTGTTTGTTGGATTAAAGCTTGCTCATATGAGTTTTGTTGTTTTGTGTAAGCGTAGTAGCCAGGGAAGATGCAAGGAGATGATGGAGATCCTTTCAACTCTGGTGGTTCTTTTGGTGGCTTTGGAGGCTCTTTTGGTGGTTCTTTTGGTGGCCCTAACAATGGTCCTTCGTGTCAGATATCTAATTTTTCAGGAAGAGACTTCAATGATGGCTTTGCTGGATCTCATGATGGTCCACCGATTCAGATGTCTAGTGTTTTAAGAGGAGATTTTGTTGATGGTTTTGGTGTCTCTTTTGGTGATTACGATAATGTTCCTCCGGTTTTGATGTCTAATGTTTTAGGAGACTCTGTTGATGGTTTTGGTGGCCCTAACAATTATCCTCCCAGTCTGATGTCTAACTTTTTCGGAGGAGGAGATCCATTTGATAACTCTTTCTTTGCCCAGCCTTTCAGTGGTGACATGTTTCATTCCAGCTTGTTTGGTCATCCTACCATGGGTCCTTTACCAGAAATGCATACTCCTCCATCAGGGTTTATCGAGAATCAGCTTCACCAGCCACAACAACCGAGGCTATCAAGTGGACCGATTATTGAAGAGATCACTGATTTAGAAGATGAGGAAAAAGGAAAAGGATATCAAGAGACGAAAGTAATCCTAGGGAAACATGGCAGGTCAAGCAGTGAGGTGGAAACTGAAGAGACTATAGCTGAAGGTGATAACACTTTTTCCCAAAAAAAATTCTGCCGTAGTCTCCAAGAAAAGAGATTGTTTTGGTTTCTTTGTGAATTGACGTGTGTTTATGTTTCTGTAGAGAGAAGAATCACACATATGCATAACATGAATGCAAATGCTATGGTTAACAATGAACAATGGCAGCCACAAACTCAAGGTTGTAGTTTCCAAGTTAGGATATTGTCTTGTTTCTATGTAACTTGACTTGTGTGTTTATGTTTCTGTAGCGAGGAGGATCACACACATGGAAAACATGAACGCAAATGTCATGGTGAACAATGAACAGTGGCAGCCACAAACTCATGGTTATAATTTTTTATTTTTTTGTGAGAATTACTCAGGGCTATAGTTTCTAAGGAATGAGGTTGTTTTGTTTCTGTGTAACTTGAATTGTGTGTTTATGTTTCTGTAGAGAGAAGGGTCACAAACATGCCAAACATGAATGCAAATGCTATGGTGGACAATGAACAATGGCAGCCACAAACTCAAGGTTATAGTTTTTTTTTTTTTTTTTTTTGAAAATTACTCAAGTAATGAGGTTGTTATGTTTTTGTGTGTTTATGTTTCTGTAGAGAGAAGGATAACACACATGCCAAACGTGAATACAAATGCTATGGTGAACAATGAACAATGGCAGCCACAAACTCAAGGTTATAGTTTCAAACGAAGGGATTGTTTTGGTTTCTTTGTAATCTGACTATTGTGTGTTCATGTTTTTGCAGAGAGAAGGATCATAAACATGCACAACATGAATGCAATGGTTAACAATGGACAATGGAAGCCACAAACTCAAGGTTATAGTTTCGAAGTTAGGAGGTTGTTTTGTTTCTATGTAAATTGACTTGTGTGTTTATGTTTCCGCAGAGAGAAGGATCACACCACACATGCAAAACATGAATGCAAATGCTATGGTTAACTATGGACAATGGCCACCACAAACTCAAGGTTATAATTTTTTTTTGTAAGGTTATTGTTTCAAACGAGGGAGGTTTTTTTGTTTTTGTGTAACTTGACTTGTGTGTTTATGTTTCTGCAGAGAGAATGATCAGACACATGCACAATATGCATGCAAATGCTATTGTGAACAGTGAACAGTGGCAGCCACAGACTCAAGGCTATATTTTCCAGAGCTCCACTGTTACTTACGGTGGCCATGACGGAAACTACTACTATTCGTCCACGACCAGAAGGACAGGAAGTGATGGGGTGAGTTGTAATAGTTTTAACATATTTGACCTGCGTGTATAGATTTTTAGTTTAGGCTTAACTAAAACTTGGCTTCATTGTGTAACAGTTAACTCTTGAAGAAAGCAAAGAAGCTAATACTGCAACACGCGAAGCAGCGCACAGGATTTCGAGAGGCTTCAATAACAAGGTAGGTTACACTTTATATACACATAGCTTATAAGGATCATAAAAATCTTTTTTTCCTTTTTTTGTTGGATCGTGCAAACTGTATAACTGATGTTTTAATCCTTGAAGGGCCACACGGTTGAGCGTACACTTAACTCGGATGGTCGGGTTGATACAAACCAGATCTTGCACAATTTAAACGAAGGTAAAATAACACTTTCCTCGTTATGCTTGAAAAAGATTCTATTGTGTAGATGAGAGAACCTCGAATTTATAACCGTTATTTTCTCTTGCTGCAGATGAATTGGCTGGTTTTGATCAGTCTTGGAGTGGCAATGCTGGAATGCAAATGCAGTTACCCTGTCTGTCTGGTTCCTTTGGTAGTAAGTAGCCAAACTTAGACGTTATAGATTTCTCGTTTGTTCATAATGTTCCTTTCCAGAACAAGACTAAACACTCTCTTTGTTGACATTTTTTTTTCAGGTGGCTTGGTTAACAGAGAGCAACCATTAATGTTGCTTCCTCCGAATGATCCAAGCCCTTCTCGTGGAAGAGGAGGGCCTTACAGAAGAAGGAATGAAATGGATTTAAGCAGACGGGGTTTCTAATGGCTTTTAAGTGAATGTTACCAAAAGACTATTGTTTACTTTTCTTATGTTGCATGGTTACTGTAACCTCTGTATGATGACATGATTTGAGGGGTTTATGATTATTGGGTTATGCATGTTTTGCTACATCATCTTGTTCTTAACTGCTTTTACTCAAGTGATTAGATCAAGCCTCAAGGGTTTTCTTCAGTCATTGACCATTATAGTTCCTAATTAGAGTTTGGGTGTAAACATTTAAAACTCTTTCTAAATGGCTTTGTGATCTTTATATTCAAATCTAGGAAATAAGTTTTCAACTTACTACATTTGTAAAATACTTACTACTGTTAGTACACTATATCTTCTATAGATTTCCATTGGGAGATGCCATGATTGTTGCTGGTCCTTCCAAGTTTGAGAAAATGTATTTTCCTCATATACTAAATAGAAGAAAAGTAAAGCAAAATTGATGCTGGCATAGTGAAAGAGTCTTTAGAAGCAGGGCCGAACACATGAACATAATAAAGTAAAATAAGGAGAGTATCAGCACACAGCTTTTCTCATGATTATTCTACGAAAGTAAACATAAAAAAAATTTACAAAAACACCAATTTGTTGATGATTAGTTGTATCCTTGCCATAGAACCCAACAGTCTTGTGATAATAATCATTTTTTAAAGGGTTGTGATAATAATCCTTACATTTAAATACTAGAAATGCCATCACTAAACTTATAATATGAGATTAGACTTTGCATAACTTTAGTGTAGGTAGTATAGGTAGAAGAGTTTAATCAAATATATATTGATTAAAGTGCGCACAATATTTCTCACTAACTATAATATATATATAACACAACATTAAGAGAAAAAAATAATGAATGCTATAAATATATAACAAATACACGATGAGGTTACATGGAAAATACTTTTGAGATTCAGAAAAAAAAGAACAAAACACTTTCTCTATTTTAGGAAGAAAACTAAAGAGCGAGAAGGCCAAGACTCATGACACACTTGCGTACCTTGTCTTCACACACATTCCAGACGTCATGATTCGTGTAAAAGGAATAAGTGTATCCCACTTTAGAAATAATTCTCAACTGTATTCCACTTTTATATTTCTTCACGCATGATTTTTTTGGTTGTTTTAATATTCATCTAATAAATCAAATAACGACCATCATGGGACACCAAAGTGACCATCTCCGATTTTAATTTACGGTTTTACTTTCGTTAGAAGCTAACGTGGAGAAGGCTGATCACAAGATCATCGGGTAACATGGAACTTCTTCAACGTTTCGGAAAGGAATTGATGTTTATATCTATTTGGAGCCCAAAATTGATATTTATATGTATCGCTTAATTAAGTTTATTAAATCTGCCTTCATAATTTTGTAATGGTAAATTATATTTCTATGCACTCACACCTTAACCATACTTTGTAGTTCTTAAATTATGTTTCGTTTTGAGATCAATTATAGTTTATTGTTTCTCTACTTAATAGTATTTATGGACAATCTACTTTGCAGCGGTTGAAAGACGAGCAACATTAAGAGAAATTCTCACAAAAATAGCATGACGTTAAACTTTTTTTCATTTTTGAAGGCAAGACTTATCACATACGGAAGTTTGTAAATAATTTACTATATATGTATTAATTTTAGTAGAATAGTTTAATTATTACTATTAATAGTATATATAGTTTACAATATAAGTGCTTAATTAATGAAAGTATGATGTGGCCTCACCTGACATTGGCTAGAATAAAATAGAAGTTGTAATTCATAAATTTAAGTGTTTAATTAATATCGACGACACAACATTTGTTGAAGAAATTTTGATAACCAGGATAAATATAAAGCAGTAAATATAGCATACTTCTTTATTCAAACATAAAAACTTTAAAACATAGTCAAGGATGGAATATCTGAAGGAGAGAGAGTCAAACCATTTATAGCTTTTCTCTTAATTATTCTAGCAAGGCAAATATTAAAAGCCTAAGCGTCATCGATTGGCTTAACATAAACACCAATTTGTTGTAGAGAAAGTTCTGTAGACTTGCCATGGAACCCAACAATCTTATGATCTTTCTCCTCCAACTTGAACGGTACTACGTCCACATAACCGTTACTTGGATCGTTTTCCAACACTGAATATGCTAATATTTGTGATGAAATCAAGCCTCTTCATTTTATAGTATGTAGACTCAAACTCGTCTACGTTTTGAGAAGTTAGCAACTTTTCACCGAAGAATCCTTCAACGGATGTTATGTATTCATTATTACCACAGAGCTTGAACTACATACAAAACGAAACTTATGCATCATATATAAACGTTATCAACTTAGAAAAAATATATATATATATATATATATATATTTATGCCATCATATACCTCTTTTTTATCACCAATGTCATCGAAGTCCCCGCGAGCGTCTCCAAGCACAGTCTCCGTTCCATTGGCATATTCAAACGTGACCGATATCACAGACTCATAGCCGTATGTTACCGTTATCAAACGAACATTGTCGTGGATCCCATCATCCCACTCTTCACCAAGGTTTCTACCTTGTGCTTGTAGTTTCTTGACCGGAGGAGCTACCACCACCGCGAAATTTGCACCTAGAGCGTTGATACGATCAACGCATGACCTTCCTCGGAAGCCAACGAGCTTATGAAACCCTATTGGCTTGAGGAAGAACTCGTTGTTAGCTATCGCTTTTCCAAACTCCTCAGAGCTTCTATCCATTGATGTGTTGAAGATTAAAGACGAGATGTAACCATCACTATTGGTAGTTCCCTCCACGGATATAATATATTCACCATCTTCATACTCCAGCTCAAACTGCACAAAAAAAAACATATTCAAATAGAGAGATAGATTAAATATTTTTTTTTTTAAAAACATTTTTAAATGAATATTTGTATACCTCTTTACGTGCATTTGAATGCATGCCGTGACAATGAGTTATACACTGGTCTCCCTTGGCATAAACAAACTCAACGGAGCTCACACGGCCACCATATTCTCCGATACACACTTTCCTTAGACCGTCATAAGCCCCATCATCCCAAGAATACCCATCGGACCCACCTTGAGGTTCTAACTGCTTTAAAGCAGAAGAAACTTCGTCAAAGTTAGCTTCTATGTCGTCAAGAAAACGATCAGAGCTTCCAAGGAGCCCAACAAGCTTCGTTCCATTTTCCTCCAACTTGAACCTTATGCTGTCAGCTCCAGGCTTACCAAACTTCTGAGATGTTCTCCCGTGTGACGTCTTGAATTGAAGCTCTGTCACCGTGCGATTAAGCGTTTGAGGCCACATGTGGATATCATTATCGTATCGGTTAGTTCTTCCACATGTTCCCTCAATGCATGTGATGTATTCGTCTGGGTCCTTAACTTCAAACTCCATCTTCAAATTATAAAAAAAAAGGAAGAAGCAAAACAGAAAACATACAGTAATTATGAGCAAACAAACACATATAAACAAAGTTTATGGGTAATTTTATACTGACGTTTAAAAATATAAATTAATACCTCAATGAGTCAAACAGAAAACACACAGCAATTAAGATTAAACAAAAATAAAAAAAGTTTATGACTAATGTATACTGAGATTTAAATCGAAATATTACCTCAGTGATTTGTGTTCCTCTTTCGCTTCCATGTTCTACCTGCACGACGTCTCCATTTCTCACGTACTGGATCTTGATGTAAGCGACGCCCTTAGAGTCTACTCCTATAATCACTTTCTTTACACCATCGTAAACTCCATCGTCGAAGGAATATTGCTCTGACACGGTTTCTATTGATGAGAGTGTAGACATTTAAATTAAACAAAAACGAAATATTAAACTAGAGAGAAAGTAATTAGTTTGTGTCTTTTGATTTTTGTAGCTCTGGTGAAAGTGAATAGATGAGTCCGTTTGGTATATGTGTATATATACTGAAACTATATGGCACGGATCGATTTTTTTTTTCCTCAACTACTAGTCTTTTGTTTTTGAACAACGCTAACCACTAGTCTACTGTATATTACTTTTACTATATACTTTATTTTTCATACTTGTTATACGGTTTTAAGCTTAGAGATCATTACATAAATGCATTCACACCTTAATCATATTTTGTGGTTCTGAATTATGTTTAAAATAGTGCGTCTCAGTTTTGAGATCAATTATAGTTTATTGTTTTCTCTACTTAGTATTTATGGACAATTTGCTTTGTAGAGCAACATTAAGAGAAATTCCCACAAAAATAACATGAATTTAAAAAAAGTTCATCTTTAAATGTAGAACTTATCACATATGGAATTTTTGGTAAAAATTAAATCTATTTGTATTAAAGATGATTTTAGTGGAACAATTTAATTATTACTATAACTAGTACGTATATTGTACAATATGAGTGCTCAATTATATTCGTTTAGTACTTTGTATGGACAATTTATTTGCAGACGAGCAACATTAAGAGAAATTTCCACAAAATAGCATTAACTCAAATAAAATAAAAATGTATAGAAAACTGAAACCAACAACTAACGCTGCAAAGAATATATAATGATATATATGATACTTCTCCAATTGATATCAAATCCAATCACCTATAAATTACTATATTTATGTAAACCGACACGGTCTAGAGAGAGTAAAAATTAAAAACCAATTGTTGTGATAATGCTTAACCGGAGAATCATACACAGCACAAACGTTGAAACGTTTCTGCAAACGAATAACAATCATCATTGGACACCAAATGATCATCTCTGATTTTAATTTATGGTTTTACTTTCATTAGAAGCTAATTTGGACAGTCAGAAGATCATCGGGTATCATGGAACTTCTTCAACGTTTCTGAAAGGAATTGATGTATCTCTTAATCAAGCTTATTAAATCTGCCTTCATAATTTTGTTATTGTTAAATAATAAGCTACATTATATTTCTATGTACTCATACCTTAACCATACTTTGTGGTTCTTAAATTATATATGTCACGTTTTGAGATCAATATAGTTTATCGTTTTTCTCTACTTAATAGTATTTATGGACAATCTACTTTGCAGCGTTGAAAGACGAGAAACATTAAGGGAAATTCCCACAAATAGCATAACTTTAAACTTTTTATTCATTTTTAATGTAAGACTTATTACATATAGAACAGTTTTTAGTGGAATAATTTAATTAAATAG